TTATATTGGTATAACTTTGGGATTTATTTTAAAAAAATTCATGGAAATAAATGATATGAGCCAAAATGATTCAGAAATTGTAAGAACTAAAAATGTTCTGGTTGGTTGCTGGATCGCTGCTTAAAATTCTCTTTGATATTACATTGACATGACATACACGATACTGTGATATATTATTTACAATAATTTGAGCGATGATGTCACTAGGGAGGGTAGACAGGGAACTCTATTAATCAAATTTGGTATATTATTCTCCGCTTTATTTATAAGTGAAGCCATGCTTGTATTTGCAATCAGATTCATCAAAGCTACATTATACAATTTGCTGTTTTTATCCAACTAAACAAAGTTCGGGTTGGGATATAGGGAACCTACTCTATACTGTCTTTCTATTCATTTGTCTGTTTAATCCATGTATTGGGTAACTCAAAAACTGTTTGTCAGATTTTGCTAAAATTGTATAGGCTGATGCATTATGGGCATGTAGTCATTGCCCAAGAGATATGAATACAGTATATCATAATTTCTAGAAGGGTCTGTTTTCAAAAATCATGGATTATAATTAGTATTTTTTCATACTTCCAAAACAGAAAGTAAAAACTTTCAGTCACACAGCATGATAGTTTTATATACTGTATACCCTTAAATGATGTCAAAATATGAAGTCAAAGTAAAGAGGTTTTCACTTGAAAATAAAAATTATGAGCTCTGTCCTTTTCTCTGGTCATTATATCATCCAAAAGTGCTTTTTTATGTAAAAATTACCAAATTTTATAACAAATATCGAAATTACAATATTTCTTTGAATTTGACCTCTGTTTAGGCCAGGCAACAAGAGATATCTCATTTTGTCATGTTTATGCCTTATTTATGAGAAAATGAGTTAATTAACAAAAACTGAAATCTGCATAATTTCTGTGAATCTGACCCTGTTTAATTAAGCTCTTATAAAAGCGACATCTCATCTGTCTGAGTTTCATTAATTTCTAAAAAACGATCGCAAGATATTATGTCGAGATTGCTTTGAGAAATGAATCTAGCCAGCCCATCAGCAGACTACACTAATCCTATATAGAAAATTACACTATGGTCAAGAATTAGCTGTATATTGCATCTAAGTCTGAATATGAACTTTGAGATTTTCAGGTTCTGTTGATCGGGATCTTCCTTATTTCATGTATTTTCATGATTTCTAATTCTATCCCTTCTATTGTGCCGTATATTTGCATAAGGATTGGTCCGCATTGTGTTACAGCTACAGGTGGCCATGTTCCATAGTGATAGATTGGAAACAAATTAAAGATAATATCAAGACGATGGCATTAATTTTCTAGCTGTCACCGATCCTATAAATGAGAAATTGAATTACACGCCTGCATTTATTTTAGGCCAGGAAAAATTGTGATGTTTCTTGTCACCTTTATTTCATTTTTTTCAACTCACCCATTAGGACACAGGACATCTTATTCTTGAAAATGTTGTCTCTTTCTAGGTATAAGAATAACAGTAGTCAAAACTGTACAACACGTGAGAAATATTCTTGATCTTTTTTTGATAGCTGATTCTATATTCTTTTCTTTTAGTTTTTTCTGTTTAGCCTAGATTTTAAAAAGCCATGTGCTACTGTCAGAAAGGTTTTGATGAAATAAATAGATATAAAATGGAAAAAAATAAATGGATTCTTGTTACATAGAATATTGATTGACATTGCTGAAATGAATTTTAAGATATGGATTAAATGAAAAAGGATTATTTTGTTCCTAAATGTATATATAGGTCCAACACCACATAGAAATTCAAAAACAACTATTTGGTTTCTAATGGCCTTCAATGTTATATGGAATTGAGTTTTTAAAGGTTATATCCATTTCCCAGGAATTATATTTCAACATTTAGTCCTATTGCCATTTGCATTCATTTGGCTTGGCTTCTTGCCAAGCCAACCTGAGAGTAATTGTCGTCAAAAGATGTATTTTTTTCTTCTCATTTTCTCTGAAACTATTGTTTCCCCAGTTTTGCATCAATGTTATTGTTATGCAATACAGATTATCACAAAGTATTCCTGATTGATTGATTGAGAAAATGTCATTGATGTTAGTAATATATGCATATAAAGTTTAGTTGTATAATAAACATGCACATACCTGTAGTTTTACATAGTTAGAATAGCAGGCCCGTAGCCAGGATTTGCCAAGGGGGTTCACTTTTTGGAAAATTCAAGGGGTTCACTTTTAACAATTTTGGTCCGAAAATGGCCAAAATCACAAGTGCTCAGAATGGTGAAAAACTGCCTGATTTTTGAAAGAATTTTGGGCCAGGGGGGGTGGAACCCATCGAACCCCCCCCCCCACACCTGGTTACGGGCCTGAATAGACTATAAACAAAGTCAGTGTCAATATTGTTTGTAAATTGAAGATCGAGATTAAACTCAAAGGTACTCTGATTCCACGTAGCTTGTTGGAATATCTTATGTTTGGTACTTGATCAGCCCATTGATAGGCAGTAAGTAGGCAATAAGAACACTTCTGCAGCCAGTGCTGACTATAGCAAATGATGTGACATTGATTTTATGCAATTTTTAAAGATATGCTATACAGATATGTAGGTCAGAATTACATAATCGTGAAATGAATAAGTCTGAATATATCATTGGTCAGAAAACACTAAAACCTGCTTGAAACTGTAAAAGTTTATACACTCTATTCCACACTGTATAGAAATAAAATAACTTACACTATAAGTAACTGTGAGCCAATCATTGCATAGAAAAAACTTTATGCACTGTTTATAAGATTCACTGAGACAAGTGGGTCAATACTTCATGTACTTTATGTGCTCTCACACAATTACCTTCCCTTGCATAAAGTTGCTGTACAGTTATATGTAACTGAATATTGTATATTCATCACAAACAACCTTAGCAAAATGATGGTTCGACGAAATGGACGGTTCGCTAAAACCAAGAAACCAGGCAATCCAGGCCAATTTGGAAAGAAACTAGATAGCGTGATAGTGAATGAGGATAGTAAGTGAAATATATTTTGCAAAGGTCAGCTTGTAAACTACTGGGTAACCCTAAATGATGAGAAATATGTACAAAATATGTTTTGCATGATTTATTCATATCCCAATGATTTAACTCCTTCACTGCATCAAATAAGGTATATACTTAGGTGGTTCAAAAAGTTTTGCAGTTGATGCCATAACTTAAAGGAAAATAGGACTTTTACAATGAAACTTGGTACACATATGTGTTATACATTTATAAAAGGAAGAGGTGCGACTATTGGCAAATACCCCTATGGTCAAAATGAATAATTGTTAGGTGTAACATGAAGAATAGAATGTCAAATAACTCTTTGGAAAATATTAAAATGCTCGGGCACACATACAGGCTGAGATAGGGGCCATTTAGTTTAGTAAGGTTGTATTGCCTTACATGGGGCTGTGCTTCATTGATTTGACATGAGGATATCAGCAGATCCCAATAGAGCCCATTGGTTTCTATTGATTATCACACAAATACCAAAAATACACTATGACCTGAATCGATTGCAAACTTAATAATTTCATAATATGGCACTAATGGTTTATCTCATCAAATGTGCAAATATGAAGTTTGCAATCGATTCAGGTCATACTTAAAATTAAAAGATTGTACATTTTTTCATCATTTTTTCCCTACAAAATGGCTATAGAAAAATGCTCCAAAAACAACTTTTACACTTATCAAAAATCATACAACTTTGTAAAACCAAAGAATATACTATTTTATTTCATTATGTAGTAACATATTTGGATAAGATGTAGGGATGCGTAGGATGCAAATGGATTTTGACAGACACAAAAATACTTCCTGGTTTGGAATCATATGCCTCTACACTTCATGATTGAATTATGACCCTAATAAGTGGCCTATACATCAATACAGTGCTGAATATAGGTCAACAAAATATTAGTGTGCATATAAATGTAATAATTAAAGCAGAATACTCATTTTGAAAAATCAGATGAATTATTTTTTTCTCATGGGGAGATCCCAATGGAGGGTGTATAAGGTCCTTTGGGACCTCAATTTTGATTGGTTCTTGAGAGATGGTTGCTAAGGTAACCAGAGTGGTGGGTACCATGTTCAACCCGAAATTACGTTTTTCCAAATAGTTTTCTTGCTTGAATAAACTCTTTGCAAAGTGGCAATTAGCAGGTGTAAGTGTCTTTGGGTGGCTATTTTTCTTCAAATTCTTCAATTTTTTGCCAGCTGTCAACACATTCTGGCAATGCTTTAATTTTAATAGAATTATTTTAATATTTTACTAACTGTATAATATGTAGTTTGCATTACTGTTGATAAATAAATAAATGATAGCACTGTTCAGTAAAGAAATATAGCAATTGTATTATTTAAACTGACTATACACTATAGAAATGTTTTTCATTGAAAAATCAAATCAGTACCAAAATTATGGTTACCCTGTAGTGGTGAAAGGCACATTAAAAATGAATATCACCCCCTTCAATCTATTTTTACAGGTTTTTATGATTATTTCAGATTTTTCTATAGTTTGCGTAACCAGGACGGTGAATTTTCTTCATTTTTCATCAAACATTTTGTCTTACCAATATTTATTATATCTGCCAATTTTATCAAAATCGCGCCGCTACGTTTGAAAATAATTCAAATTATGTAGTTTTTCCCATTGAGCTCCATTATAAAAATGGAATTTTCAAACTTAATATTTTAAAATTCTACGCGGTGAAAAGTTGCATATTGAGTAGTTAGTAAATGTTATGGTGTTAAAAATTCAAAACAAAAAGGAATAAAGAAAAAATGCCACAGAGAAGTCTCAATAGAGTATCTTTAAGTTGATTTATTATCAGTAATTGAATAAAAGTAGTGCTTTAAAGGCCAAGTGCTGGCTCATTCCTATTGCTCTTGACCAAAATGTCTTTAATAATTGAATTGATATTAAGATTTAAAAAAATTATTTTTATTTTTTCAGTGTCTTAAGTCGCAGCCCCAAAGAGCTTATTAAAGAGATAATCCTAGTTGATGACCACAGTGATAATCGTAAGTAAAAGAGATAAATCTGGCACATTTGTACATCAGGGGCCGTGAATTCGTACGATCCGCGATCTGATCTGGATAAATTTCGTCATGGTAATGGTGCATTGTGGGATTAATCCAAGAATTAATCCAAAAATCGGTGAATTCGTACGATCCTGGGATTATAATCTCAGGATAAATCTCAATCCACCTTTTGAGGTGGATTACTTTTTGGATAAATTTTATCCGAATTCCAATGCAAATTGGATAAATCTTGGGGAATCCCCCTCATAATCCTCGGATCGTACGAATTCACCAAATATTTATCGGATTAGTAATCCAAGATTTATCCCAAGAGATAAAATTTATCCGGATTGGATAGGGATCGTACGAATTCATGGCCCCAGTACTATGAACATTACTGCATCTTAAAGATCATCAAGATTATAATTACTTGAGGGGACAATGAGAGTCTAATAATTTTGATACGTAGAAGCAGATCACAAATAGCAGGTCATTTAACCTCTTGACTATCCAGAGTGACGAGATTTCTTGTCACCTAAGAAACAACCTTGAAACCCTGAGAGTGACAAGATAATCTGTCACAAATTTTTCACTAAAATGGCTCAAATTTGAACAAATTTCATCCATTTTACACAAAATAACCTTGAAAATATGTAGAAATGATCTAGCGCCAACTAGTTTCAGTTTTAGTTTTATAATTTCAGTAAAAATGTCAAAAAATGAATGATTCTCTGGTTTCAAACTGATTTTAGAGCCTGTAATTCAAGAGGTTAAAATAAAATAATCCAATTCATTTAATTACTATAACTTCAAATAAATCCTACCAACTCCAGGGCATCTAAATCCTCTGTTGAAACTAATAATGATTGGTAAAAAAAAATCCAATGTGCAAATAAAATTCCCAATGGATTGCTTGGGTAGATTAACTGATATCATCGTCTCCCCAAATATATGATTTTTAAACAGAAATATGAACAATTATTTTTATCAAACTCTTGTGGGATCGAATGTAATTTGAGCATCAGTTGTATCAGTAAGAAGCTTCCACTATATGCCTAATGAAGGATGGCCTCCATTGCTCTGGAGGATATGTAGCACGGATGAAATAGAGCTCAAAATTAGAGTTTTGCATGAAATTGTCTTTTCAGCTGTAAAAGATAATAGTATTTTTGTTTGAGCTGCAATATTTGGTTTCATACGTTTATGATACATGTATGTATCTTTGCAATTTAGAAATTGAAATTTTGGTATTTTTGAGTGAGAAATAAGCATTTTTTGGTAGCCTTGTTCTGTTTGGATTCTGATATATCCATGCATTTGTATTTTCCTATTTCAGTAGTCTATACTTATTCCGGGAAAATGGTTTCTTGTCAATTACACTGATTCCAATAAAATCATTAGGATCCTGTTTTGTAAATGTCAAACTAAGATGGAGTGTCTGAGTGAAGTGCCAATTTGCGAATTGCTACTATTAATTTGAAGATACCTTTTTTGCTCACTAATTGGTGAGCCCAGGCCCGTAGCCAGGGGGGGTTCGCAGGGTTCGGGCGAACCCCCCCCCCCTGGCCAAAAATTCTTTCAAAATCATGCAGTTTTTCACCATTTTGAGCACTTCTCTTGTGATTTTAGCCATATTTGGGCCAAAATTGTCAAATGTGAACCCCCCCTGGACATTTTTGAAAACTGAACCCCCCCTTGGCAAATCCTGGCTACGGGCCTGTGAGCCTATGGAGTTACCCGCTTGTCCGTCTGTCTGTCTGTCCTTACCCAAGTACAGTGGTAATTGCTTACCTTTATATAGTGTGGTAAACAAAATAATACAATGCAAAAGCAATACAGTTTTAAAATATGAGTACCATGATATTAATTGCACTAATATTTTTCACTCTGAGGATTGTTGCAAGGGGGGAGGGGGGTTGAGCAAATCCCCTTTGCCAAATCTTCTTTCAAAATGATGCAGTTTTTCACAATCTTAAATAATTTTCAAGTGATTTTGGTCCAAATTATGAATCCCCCTCCCTTAGGGATATTTTTAAAAAGTGAACCCCTTGGCAAAAGCTGGTTACTGGAGTGAGTCTGATCCCATATGGTTGAGAAATGAAAAGTAATTAAAGAGATCGGGTCTCCTAAAAACACAATTAGAGTAACCCCCTGATTTTTTCATGTCATTTGATGTAAAACAAGTTTGTTTGTTTATCAACTTATCAATTCTGAGGCTTGAATTAATTCATTGACAGTATCAATTCGATGATTGTTCCTAGCCATGAATTTTCACTTACATCAATAGAAATTTAAATTTAAAAAGCTCACTCAAATTTGTTCCAGTCTGATTGGCTTTTTCCTTCAGATTATTTTGGCTTAGAGAAGCCATATTTATTTATTACTTCTAAGGGGTTACAATATTGATAAATCCCAAAAAAACATTGTATTCTGTTTTCGACTTATTGCGTTCAATTCTGACAGTTGGTTGTTCTTTTGGTTGTCCTGTTGATATCCTCAATATATTGTTGAAATCGTGCTTATGATTTGGTCTCAAGATATATCTAAGGTATATATGATGTTTTATGAGCAATTATATTGGGACATTACTGATTGTCCAGAATAGAAATCTGGACGATTCGATCTCTTTAAGAAACAGAGAATCCTGCCTTATATTCCATCGTGGCTTCTTTCATTCATCCAATATAAAAAAAGTGCCATCTTCCTCAGTCAGAAGCAAGAGTCTTTGCACTTGAAACAAATTAATGCTTGAACTAATGACCACCTACCTAAGTATGTAACCATAAGTGATCTATGACATGAGTAAATGATTTAAAAGCCATTCATATTGGTAAAAGGGGACTTAGCATATTGAGATGGCACAAATTGCTTTGTATGCCATTGACGTTTCTTCTCCGGACAAAACATTTTCAGCCCTAATTAAGGAGCAATATACATGCAATATACGCACTAGAGATGCTACTTTTGTGTTTTGTTAATAGACCCTACATTCTCCTCCGCTGGGAGAGTACTAGCTTTTTCTGAATTTGAATAATTATTTGATTCCCTGGCCAATTATTGGCAATAAGGAATATCTTCTTGATTTATATCATCAGGTTTTAAGGCATTAGCTGCTATTAGATTTATGTAATTTTAGATTTTAGAGGGGCGAGTGTAATTTTGCTTTCATGGAGAATTACTGAGTATATTCTCTAAATAAAACTCTAAATTTTTATTAACTGTTATGTCTGTTCTTCCTCAGAGTAAATGTGTGACTCTACAGTCATGCCACTACGCTTTTCACAACAGAGATTACTGACCTCACTGCTCTTAGAAAGTACAATCTCGATACAATTTCATCTCAGAGATAAATTTCGATTTCATGATTGACCATATTTTGATGATCAATGAAATGATCATGTTTACCAAACACAAGGTTGTTCTTTACCATATGCAGAATGAGAGTATCAGTAATCTGCATTCAGTATTGATATTAAACTAAAATACATTAAAGAAACATTTGCAAACTTCCTTAAATCAACAGGCAATTTTTTCCTTAAAACAACTGGAGAAAATTGCCCCTACAAATATAGGGACAGAAGATGCTGAGCTCTTTGCTGCAGAAACACCTATTCTATACATTGATGTACCAAGTACCTACCAGGTCGATCAATAAGTTCATGGAAAATGTCTGTAAAATTGAGAGTTTTCACTCAAACCATGCCAAATTTGCACAGAATGTAGACAATTTATCTGATTATTTGTTCTATAAGTTTCATAAGCATATTTTTATATACATATATATATATATTTGTATATCTATATTCAAATAGTAGAGACCTGATAAAATCATATCATTCATGAAAATGAAGAGACAACTGCGATTGTCAGATGTTATCCTATTTTCTATACCAGGTCCTTGATTAATGGGATTTAGATCCTACAGGCCTCATGATTTAATTGGACCATAAAAAATCTAAAAATCATTAAATCAAATTCAGATCACTTATACATGTACATGTATTTTGATCTCACGACAATAGGGACCCTTAAAGGACTATTTTCAGAAAATTCCAGAAACCAAAAGGTGTAGACCTATAATTGCCAGAAAAGAATAAAAGGAAGAACAAGAAAAAGATGGCAAATTGTGTCCTGTCCTTATGCATTGAACAAACCAGTCCATAAGCTCAACACCCCCCCCCCACTTGGCCTTTGAATCCCCCTTATTAGTGTGTTCCTTTGAAATGTAACTTAAATCACACAAACAAATGTGAGTACGTACAATGAAAACATAAACACATTCAATGTAAACACTACACAAAATATAACTTATATAAAAAGTGTTTTCATATGAAACAAACAAATTATAATGAAAACTGATAGTATGCGAGTGACAGAATCAAGACCATTCATTTTGGCAAAAAACAAGTCTTTGTTATCTTGAAGAACTCTGCAGAAAAAGGTAGAATTAGAGTTAATTATTAACAGTGAAATACAAATCAACAAAATGAGAACAGAACAAGCCTCCAGACAGTGCTCAAATGAGAAAAATAGATGAGAAATAGCAACTAAGGGAATAGTTAGACATAAAAAGACATAGCAGATAGTACTAGTTATGAATAATTCATATATTCTAATGATAATTGAAGAAAAGGCAATTATGTTCAGCGATCCTGAATGGATGGAGGGACAAATGAAAGAAACTGAAGGCCGGGGTATAATATAAACATGACTGTAGTATAGCTCATAAAGATAATTCTGTTTTTGTGATTATCTTTATTTTAGCCCTTCGCTACCCAGAATGATGAGATTTTGAGAATCTCTAAAGAAGCTGCTCTAATTTTAAGAATTAAGTCCAATAGACACAAATTATTCAAAATTTTCACATGTGTAGAAAGGTTGGGGGCTTACTTTTTTACCAAATTGAACACTACATTTTGTATATATTTATTTAGTTAATGTCAAAAACTGGTAAAAATTCTCTGGTTTCAGACCCATTTTACTGTCTTGTTACAAAGCTAAACATGCAATATCATTCAGCCTTTTAGTTCAATACCAACCCTTTATTTAACTGTTTGCTTGCAGCACTGGATGGAGCCCTGTTAAACCAGTTGCCAAAAGTCAAGGTACTCAGGAACAGCAAAAGAGAAGGTCAGTAATGTTATATTATGATAAAAGTAGTAGTTATATTGAATACAGTAGGCTCGTAGCCAGGAGGGTTCAGGTTTGAGCCAAATATTCATTCAAAATCTTGCAGGTTTTACCATTTTGAGCTCTTTTCAAGTGATTTTGGCAATGTTTGCAGCCAAAGTTGTCAAATAGAAACCCCCTTGGGCAGAACACCTCCCCCATGGCAAAACCTGGCTCTTGGCCTGTCAAACAGGAATTCAGTTGAATACAATGTATACAATGTACATGTATATGATTATTGAACCAAACTTGCCCTAACTTACTGTTAGGCTGTACGTGTCTCTCTTATATCAAATAACCCCTTAAATTCCCTTCCAAGTACTCTAATAGGAGCATTATTCTGAAAGACCTCCAAGTTGGTGAATTTGGAGCATCTGAAACTTTAGTCTACTTTGTGAATCAAAATGAAATAGACATGAAAATTATTATCTTGATACATTATCAAATGAAGAATAACTTGACAGTTTCATAAAAAAGCTGATATTTCTGAGCAGTTCAGCTACTTTTCATCACAATTCCAGTTTTACAACAGCGGATTGTTCCTTTCTCATGATATACAGTAAATGATGAATATGCCCAGGTGGCACATTTATTTATGTTTGTGTCTATCATGATCATTATATGTGATGGACAGTTATTTCCTCTAACCAGACTTCAAACACATGCTTTATGAATAGTTGGAACAGCAAAACAAAATAATTGTAAGAATGCATGGTGCATCTTGTTGCATATATTTCGATAGACTCAATGCGAGTAGCAATTATCTTGATTTATGTCATTAAGAATTCAAAATTCAGTCAAACTCACATTTGAAATTCTTTTCTCCAGTATGAATTTTATAATGTTTGTTATGATTTGACTATATTGAAAATGTTTTAGAACAGACATCACATTTGAAATTCTTTTCTCCAGTATGAATTCTATAATGTTCCACATTTGTACTCATCATAGCATACGAGGGTTGATCATAAAGTTCTCATAATATCTCTCTAATTTCTTTATTTTTCAATATTTCCCTATGAAATTTTCACAGAATGTGCAGCATGGAATGTTTTATTGATCCAGCAAAAAATATTTAGAATAATAGAAACATTAAGTAAGAAATGGTTGCCATAGTAACTTGAAGTCAAGGCACCCGGGGCAAATAAAAAAACTAGCTAGAATAGCCCCCATTAACCATGTTTAAATACATGGTAAGTTGTCAAATAAGCTATCAAAGATATTAAACTGTCAAATAATATGTGCTCCTGACTGTTGTGAACTATTATAATGGTCATGTCAATGTGTGATCTCACAATGCATGATTGTTATGCTTCATTAGAAGTGACTGTTAGACCCCATGACTGTTTTGTCAAATATCCCGAGGAAAATTGATTGTGCCCCTTTAGTTCATTTTTGACATGTACAAACCACACACAGGGTGTAATTTTGTTGATACCTTAACAATATATTTGTTTTAGATCATATTTAGTCTGACCAAAGGATCTTACAAACTTAACATAACATTTTATCAATATTAATTTTATTTTTCTGAAGATCTCTGCATCTATTGCATTCTCTTACTCAGTCATTTTTGATCATTATATATAGCTTTGAGTCTCAGGCTCTGATATCTAATGTAGCATGAAAGCATCCCCTATGACATCACACGATCCACATGATCAATTTTTTAATAGTAAAAGCACTTAACAACATATTCAAGTTAACATTTTAATGTGTTTGGTAATTTATGAGAGTTTATTATGTGTGTTAAAATGGTTAATTAGAGCCATTCTCTCAATTACTTTTATTTGCCCTGGGTGCCTTGATTTTCCCTTACTATGGCAACCATTTCTTATCTACCATTTTTGTTAAACTAAATATTTTTAGCTGAATTAATAAGACATTCTATGCTGCACATTCTGTGAAAATTTCATTAGAATATATTGAACAATAAAGAAATTAGAGATATATTATGAGAACTTTATGATCAACCCTCGTATATCACAAATATGTTCTCCTTTATGGCCACTTGTAATAATGCTACCACTAGGAGTATCATCATTCATCATCAGAGCTTATTTATCATGCTTTTGGCAGTACATGTATTTATCTCATCAACATTAATTATCATACTTTCGGCATTAGCTATCACACAATCAGCATTATTCATCACAGCTTTCCAATTAGTAATCATATCATCAGCTACATCACCACTATTAATGACCTTGCTTAACCATAGTCCCTTTCCATAATAAAGGTAAATTCCATGTGTTGCCTTCCTAGTTTATCTAAGCATTATTTCGATTTTATTTGGTCAACTTAAGTTTTACAATACAATTGATGAAGTAAAACAGGTTAAGCACTTTGGAGCTAGGCGGAAGGGTGCCGTAACCACAAAGTTGCAAATTCGAGACATGTGTGCACTCCTTGTGTTTATTCATATATGACCACTGTCTGAGCTTTCAGTTGTAGAGGTATTGTAAGAGGGTCTGATGCGGCCAGTGCCAATATCCTTATATCTCTATTCATTGTTTCAGGCTTGATTAGGTCTCGTGTAAGAGGGGCAGATGCGGCCAGTGCCAATATCCTTATATCTCTATTCATTGTTTCAGGCTTGATTAGGTCTCGTGTAAGAGGGGCAGATGCGGCCAGTGCCAATATCCTTATATCTCTATTCATTGTTTCAGGCTTGATTAGGTCTCGTGTAAGAGGGGCTGATGCGGCCAGTGCCAATATCCTTATATCTCTATTCATTGTTTCAGGCTTGATTAGGTCTCGTGTAAGAGGGGCTGATGCGGCCAGTGCCAATATCCTTATATCTCTATTCATTGTTTCAGGCTTGATTAGGTCTCGTGTAAGAGGGGCTGATGCGGCCAGTGCCAATATCCTTATATCTCTATTCATTGTTTCAGGCTTGATTAGGTCTCGTGTAAGAGGGGCTGATGCGGCCAGTGCCAATATCCTTATATCTCTATTCATTGTTTCAGGCTTGATTAGGTCTCGTATAAGAGGGGCAGATGCGGCCAGTGCCAATATCCTTATATCTCTATTCATTGTTTCAGGCTTGATTAGGTCCCGTGTAAGAGGGGCTGATGCGGCCAGTGCCAATACCCTTATATCTCTGTTCATTGTTTCAGGCTTGATTAGGTCCCGTGTAAGAAGGGCTGATGCGGCCAGCGCCAATATCCTTATATCTCTATTCATTGTTTCAGGCTTGATTAGGTCCCGTGTAAGAGGGGCTGATGCGGCCATTGCCAATACCCTTATATCTCTGTTCATTGTTTCAGGCTTGATTAGGTCCCGTGTAAGAAGGGCTGATGCGGCCAGCGCCAATATCCTTATATCTCTATTCATTGTTTCAGGCTTGATTAGGTCCCGTGTAAGAGGGGCTGATGCGGCCAGTACCAATATCCTTATATCTCTATTCATTGTTTCAGGCTTGATTAGGTCCCGTGTAAGAGGGGCTGATGTGGCCAGTGCCAATATCCTTACATTCCTAGACAGTCATTGTGAATGCAACAAAGGCTGGCTACAACCACTACTTCAACAAGTCAAAGATGTAAGCATTATATAAATTGGCTATTTTTGCTGAAGCCTTACTACAATAATATTAAATAATATAGCTTTTACAATTTTTGATTGATTTAGTACCAGATGATACTTCTGATCTGACCGAATATTTGAAATGTTTGATCAACATTTTAGATGTGAAAAAATGTGTAATGGAATAGATTTGATGATTTTTATGGAGCTTATATTAGTACTGATTATTTCAATAGAAATGATTGCATATATGGACATGAACAAGTATTTTTACAGAAGCATTTTTATCTCTCCACCAGAAGTGGTGACATATTGTTGTAGTCACTAACTTTTTGTGGATGGTGCTTTACATTCGGCGATCAGTATCTGTAACAAATGGCAGGTGATGACATTTTGCATGTGAATGCCTTGTTTCTTGTGTGTTGCTAATTGAAATAATAAAGAAGAAGTCGCACTCTGACAGATCGATTGCTTCTTTGAGCCAATGAACATTGACCAATCAAGGGAAATGATACTGATATGCAACCTGAATATGTTTTCCCCATCAATTCTCATTTATTCAACATATTTCATTAAACTTCCATACAACACAAAATATATTGCAATTGAAAATAAACCAACAACAAGCGCAATTATCATGAATGATAATTTTAATATTGAAACAGTGTCAGAATTCCTTGAAATGAGACTCCATATTGTACATATTATTACTGTAAAATCGGCTCTAAAATGGCTATTTGTACAAAATGTGAAAAAAATTGGGCCATTGGTATTCGAGTAATTGCCTTGACGGACAGACGGACAGATGGATTTACGGAGGCATTCCTTATATCCCTCCAAACTTGTTCAATGGGATAATTACATGTTGCCTGCTGCTTATGCAACCCCTTTCTAATTGCAGGACCCATACAGTATTGTTAGTCCTGTGATAGATGTCATCAGTACAGATAGCTTCTCTTATGTGGGAGCTTCTAGCGATCTCAGGGGAGGTAAGCAATTATTCTATACCATTGCCTTAATTGCATATATATTTGATATTTAGCATTATATATTGTTATAGTCTCCAATTCTTTATGGACATTGTTTGGCAGTTGGTGTTTGGCAGTTAATTATTAGTGGTTGTGTTCAGCATCTGTTACAAATGGCAGGTGGTGACATTTTGCATATTAATGCCCTGTTTAACCTACCTACAGTTTCTTGCACACAATATAATATACACAATACAGGGTGGGCCACAAAAGTGGGACACTGCATCATTCTTAAGATTTAAGATCACATAGATGAAGCATGTGTAAGATACCAAAGGATTGGAATTTAATAGGCTTTAATCAGGTGCATTCATATGTAACGTGTCTTTAATGCTGTAAAAGTTATGACAATTTTAGATTGTGACAGTGGTGTCAACATTAGGTATTTTATTTGTAAAATCTACATTTTTATGCCATCTTGAGATACTGTGCCCTAATTTTCACTATTTTCGCTGAAGAGGCTAGACCATGAAATTAAAGGCACAGTGAAAATTTAATTTAACATTGAATTCAATTGGATAATTCTTCAGACAGTGGTATTTAATGACCATGAAATATTTCAGATTGACTATATAGTGATTTTTTTGTTAGCAAAAATTTGGGCTTTTACAGTATTTGCTACCATTTATTGTACTACTTTATCCCAGACTTGTTGCACTTTACTGGTGTAACCAGTTTATCCTCACAACCTATAGTCACATTTTCCAACCAGGTTAACGTCATTAACATAGTTTTTTAAATAAGTCATAGTAGTGATAAAATGTGTTTTTGTATACAGAAGACTGCCTAAGCTACTAAAATTTGTAAAGATATTCTGGTGAGATGTGAGTTAAATAAATGAAGAAAACAGTTAAAATTTTAGTAATGAACTCATTAATTTTCCTGGCATTTGGTTACAATGAACCCTCTATTAAAAAGAATATCTGAGGGTCCTATATTTGGCCCATCCTGTACATATTTAAGTTAACAAAATATGTAGAATACAAATATGTGCAAAGGCTAAGGTTACTGAAATCTGGAATCTATTTACTCATATGTTCATTCTTTGTCAATAAAGGGTTTGATTGGAGCCTACATTTTAAATGGGAGCCGTTGACGTTTGCACAACGTACAGCCAGAGATGATCCCACTAAACCAATCAGGTACTTGGGATCTGTGTACATGCATCGTTCGTAACTCATGATTGCCTCATTCCCAATGACAATCACTTTTGAATCATGAGAAAGGATTCTGAAAAAGGGTTGCCATTTGGGCAATGGATTGATTGCCAATCTGGCAAATTGTGGCAAACATGCTTTCAACTTTAGTGTAGATCCCTGCATCAGTGTGATTCATCTTTTCATTGTTGTTGTTTGCGATTTGCATGATTTTTATATATGCATTGTTTTCCTGGTTTGGTATTTATCAGTCTAATGCATTGTTCCAAAAAACTGAGCCATATTCTTTCATTCACGTGAGCATTTTGCTTTCTGGAATACTTTGTTTGTTCCTGTGTTGTAGACTGATCTGTGTGGTTCCTATTAGCTGTGCATTATGTTGTGCTGTCAATGTTGTTTCTGATTTGCATGATTTTGCCTCTAGGAGTATCAATTACACCATCATTTTATTGTATATCTGGTCTTAAAAGTTAAAGAATTGTTATGTGCCTTTTTTCTTATGGCTTCAAATGATTAACCCTCTGAGGGGAATGAGGACCCTCTCTAATTTATGATAAGTAATTTGTGCAATTAATACTCAAAATTATATTTTCGTTTAGGACAATTTATGCTCCCTCCCCTTATTGTATGTGCATGCCCTGGTAGGGTTATTCATACTGTTTTGTTCAATTTTGCTATCACCTTGGATAAAAGGCATTATATACAGTGTAACTTCTTTGTTACATTACTGATGTTAGGATTCTAAGGGGGTTTGATGAGCTCTTGTGACATCAGATATTCCCACCTTAAACTATTAAAAATAGGACCCCCTGTCAAATCATGAAAATGACCTGATTGATAATTTCATAAGCCCTCTTGGTAACTTTCATAATTCCCCCATAACAAGTGGATCAGTTTCAGAGTCCTATAATCCATAGCTTTGAGGCTAAGGCCTGTGGGAAAGAAAAGTGAATGTGAGAGGGGATTATTAGGATAATGTTGCAAATGCTATTATCCACCTAGGGTGATGGATCATTTCACCAGATTTCATATGAAAATTAATTGATATGCTTGTATGACTTTGTGTACTTGGGATGATATGTCAAATAATTATTAAAAACTATGATAAATCTATGGCCTTTGTTGAAATTAGAGATTCTGTCTCTCTATGGAGAGGCACCCTGAGTTTGAATATATTTGTAATAGATTGGATTAATTGTCGAATTCTCAAACTTTCCACCTTTTGGAATGAACAGACCCTTAAGGACCTTCAGTAGGGTTTGATTACATACCTTGTATATTATCTATTTCCTAATGTCCTATTGTGAATATAGCAAAATGTTATATGATTTAATGTTGTAGGTAAGATGTCAAACGTGCGCATTCTCCAAAAATACCTCACTTATGGCCCTTAGTTCGGTGTGACTCTCTATCAGATTTATTTCACTACACCCCTTTGGATTATCATCGAAAATATTAATGAAATAACTAATTGAATATATAGTGATATTGCTGTTTTTTCTCATAATTGATAATATGATTGAACTGCTGAAAGAATGTTGTGAGATGCCTTGTTGTTTACTCATTGCCCCTACATTATAACAAACATTATTGCAAATGTACCTGTTGATGCTCTTACATCAATATACCAATCTTTACGATTTTGAATCATGTTGAATATGATCTGGCTTCGGTCTTTGTCATGTTGTGTTATTATACTTTTTCTTCATTGAATAAGATAAATGACAGACGAAGGGTAAATGATAGACTGTACTGTAAATTATAACATACATAATCTCAGTATCAAGTTATTCCAAGCTAATCTCATCTTTTGTATAAATACAAGCAGATACCTACTCCATCAAGATTTTCACTGTTTTGATTAATTACAACTGGGAGATCCAAGTGTGATAACATTGACTTTCTGGATCTTTCACTTAAATCCTGAGATTACATCTGACAGACAATCTCTCTTGTTAATCATAACTCACCGCCTCTTGTCATGACTGTTTCATGATTTGGTACTAGATATATAGTAAAGAGCCTGTCCAATATGTAATACCACCATCTTCATTTTACCTCTTTCCAAAGTTATTTTTTTCAATTATCCTTTACATATTATTAACAAGCAAGATTGTCCGTTACTATAATCAAAGGGCTAGTATCACTTGGTACTGCATTAAATGTTTTTACTTTGCATTTTACCTTATAGTGATAATACAATTGATGCATGTATTGTTACAATAGATTGGCTGCACGTTCTCTCTATATTGCATATTAATGTATATTTATTTTATAAATAATATAAAAGTTGATTTAAGTAGTTTTCAAGTGCGATCACTACAAATAGGATGAACTTTGTCGATCACAAAAAACAGCTCCAATGAAGAATATTTACCAAACCCAAATTGGTTCATGTATGATTCTGTTAATGTTCAAGAAAAATTCTTTAGAATTCTGAAGCATGTACTGTGAATTCATAGTGTATCCCAGAATTCCCTGAACATGAAAAAGTCTTTGTAAGTGGGGACATTCTTGAGAAGAAACATAAAATCAAAGCTCAAGAACTAATGAAGAATAATTAGAGAACCCAAACTTTGTATTTTACCTTATACTGATAATACAAATGATGCATGTATTGTTACAAAGGTATAGATTGTCTGCACGTTCTCTCTATATTGCATATAAATGTATAAATTAAATTTACTGAACCCAAATTGGTTCATGTATGATTCTGTTAATGTTCAAGAAAAGTTCTTTAGAATTTTGAAGCTGTTCTGTGAATTCATATTGTATCCCAGAGTTCCCTGAACAGAAAACAATAAATTTTGAGAAGATCCATAAAATCAAAGCTCTCATATTATCCATTTAAATAAATCATAAAGATAATTAAAATCATTAAAGATAAAACGTAGAACAAATTGTGCATTGACATTATTTATGTTTGGCCTCATCAAAGTTTCTTGATTGAACCAACTGTGTAATTGCCCATTCTCATATTTGTGGTAATCAGGGGGCTTCCAGAGTGATGTAAGCTTTAAAGATCTACATTACAGCCAAAATTATTGACGATGTATTGCAGTATTGCTATTTCAGCATTTCAAAGCATTTTATGAAATTCATTTCAGAGACAATCTGATATAAAAACAATATATGTTCATTTATTTTGAATTGTACATTGAATTGCCTATGGAATTATAAAACAAAACATTGAGGTTCATGTAAATTCTGCCAAAAATCTAATGACAATACTCTGGATCTGTGCTCTTATGCAAGCTATGTATGTGAAAAGTTAAAAGGGTAATGCATATCATTTAGCAAATTGAATACTGGTACTCATTTTTGATGTTGCTCACTGTTTAGTATAAAAGGCACAATCCCAGAATAATACTCAAGGGGTCTCAGGTTGAGGTCAATGTGTAAAGAGCTCTGCCTGTTTATGTAGCAATAGTTTAGTATAGGTCGCTGTGCATTTTATTTATAAAAGGGAAATTATTATTATTTTGATAAATCGATTTCACCTTTTATTTGTGAAGTTTCAGGATCTTCTGTTTGTGTTTAATGGAAAAAATTAGTATCTTGATTGAATGAAATGTTTTGGACTAATACCAGGTTTTATATTGGTTCATGCATCCTTTCGATAATTCACCCTCTCAACCTTCCAATATTTACAGATTATAAAGTTTTGTACGGATTGTTTTATATTTCTGAAGACAATTTGAATATAGTGAAATATACGGAACTTCCCTAATTTATTAAAAATAGACTGATCAAATAGGCTTGTCTGGAGTCGCCATATTGTATTTTTACGGAAAGGAATACGTAACCCTTTATAACTGAAAATGTTGGATTGCAGTTGGCTCTGGGGAGGAGTGAAAATTAAGTTTTTTTGACAAGTAATCAAATATATAATAAGAGATCAAAATACTTCATTATTAGTAGATTTTAGAGATGAAACACAGATATTATCACCATTATAATACATGCGACAATCTACCTATATGTTAAGTGCATAGACAGAGAGTTACTTGATGAAGATGAAATTAACTCCTAGATTGATGCTCTATATGAACAAAGAGAGTGAAGTTAGATCATCCTTTGGGACTATAAACATAGAAAAGTGCATTAGTGCAAAAATAAATTGAGATACAATCTATTGTTAGAATTTAGAATGATTAATTGCACCAAAAGTATTACAAAGTTGAGGTGTTTAATGGAATACAATTGATGACAATTAGGCTTTTAAGGAATTGATATAAAATGTTATAATTGCATCCTCCTATAGTATTACGAATTAGAGTGGGATGAGGCTGTAAAAGTAGAATCATGGATATAAAATCTGAAACAAGATAAGCTTGTGAATTATAACGGCTGCAAGCTGAGAATTTGAATATTTGAGTTTGAATTTAGTTAGAAATGATATAATAAACACTAACTAGATATAATGGAGTCAGACGAAGAAGAAGGCAACATACAGGGTGATCCAGAAGTAACGTCAAAGATGTTGTAATTTCAAAAGTATTCATCAGATCTTCATGAAATTTGGTATACATGTACCCACAACATTTCTGAGTTACCATCTCAAAGATTGGAATTCAATCATTTCATTGGTTGAAATTATGGTTGCTATAGTAACCCGATATCACGTAACCCGGGGCAAATTACTTAACGTGTAATGCGTAATCTCAAAATATCAACAAGATCTGAAATTGTTATATCCTCAACATTTTATTTCACAACAATATAAATCATACTATTGCACAGTTACTAATAATAGTTCATTCTACATAATTGCCACCATTTGCAACACATTTCTCATGTCTGGATACCCATTCCTTGAACACAGAATTAAATCCATTAGAACTCATTCCTTGTAGGGCTAGTACTACGGCATTTTTCAATTCCTCACAGGATTGAAAATTATTTCCACTAAGGTTTCTTTTTAGTTCCCCATACAAATAAAAGTCACTGGGGGCAAGATCAGGTGAATAAGGGGCATGTTCAAG